GTTGCAAGGTTCATCAATAGTGAAAACAGGCCTAGAACCACAGCCCACAACGTGTTAGAAGCCTGCAGAAAGGAGCTAAGAGCGTTTGAAACTTGGCAAGTTGTTCCAATTTATAGAGATCAGAATCAAGCTGCGGACGCAATGGCGAAACTTGCCTCTCGTCTTCCTCCCGGCCTTCATATCAAAACTGACCCACCGGATGAGATAAGAGGCCTCTTAGAAGATGATGTCTATGGGATACCCAGATGGCGTGAAGTGCCTTGTTAGCTATGTTTAAAATGTATTAGTACTTGGGTATACCCCTTCCATATAAATAAAAAAAAAAGAAGTAGAATATTGCAAAAACTAGGAAAGAATGGAAGCTTATTAGCATGGCAGCAAGAATAATGGGTCCACAAAGCGTCTTTGAAGCAGCCTTCGAGACGTAGAAGTAGTCTTAGAAACTATCTCACATATTATGTTTATAATATCAAATGAAACTGTAATTGAATTAAAATGATACTTTAATTGTGTTGAAATTAAACTGTAGTAGGTATAAAATGAAACTGAATAACATGTCTCACATATTAAATGTATTTGTCAAATAGAATTGTAGTTGAATAGAAATGGTACTTTAGTTTTGCTGAAATGAATTGAAACTACAGTATATATAAAAGAAACTGAATAACATGTCTCACATATTGAGCGTAGTATATTGTCAAATGAAACTGTAGTTATATCAAAATGATATTGTAGTTGTGTTGTAATAAACTACAATGTATATAAAATGAAACTGAATAACAGTTTACATATTTGAGTGTATATTGTCCAATGAAATCGTAGTTGAATTAGAATTATAATTTAGTGGTGTTGTAATAAGATTACAGTGACTATAAAATGAAATTCAATACATGTCTCATTGTAATAAGACTATTGTATGTATAATGTCAAATGAAACTATAGTTGAAACAAAATGAAGCTTTAGTTATATTGAAATGAAACACAATATTATATGAAATGAAACTGAATATAATATACAAACTGAACTAGTTACACGGAACGACGCAGAACGGTACCATTTCTTTAAGTGGCACCGTTTTGAACAATGGTCCGCAATGCTTTGTGGACCATGGTCCACGGTATAATTTGCCTCTTTTATGTTATACTATTTTTTTTTTAATTTTTAATACCCTTAACATATTTTAATTTCATATATTTCAATAATTAACTTTTTGGAGAAAATGGTGTATGTAATGACTGAAATATAATGGTCCCTTGACTATAACACAATTACCAGTTTAGTTACAAGTTAACGGATGTCTAACGGCAAAATATACGGATGACCAAATTGGTTAAGATTTTTAAAGTTGAAAAACTTAATTGGTAAAAAAAATAGTCAAGGACCAAATTGGTAATTTTACTATAGCCAAGGGACCATTTCGGTAATTAACTTTAAATTAAATAAGAGAATATATAAGTATATAATTTAAAAAGGGAAAATGACACTTTTTCCCCCTGAGTTATATACTTATAGCACTTTTTCCCCCTGAATTATTTATGTAAGCACATTAGCCCCCTCAATTATTTTAAAAGTGGTGGTTTTCCCCCCTAATATATTTTATTGACATTTCTACCCTTAAAGTAAACATTTTATTTATTTTTCCTTTTTAATAAATTATTGCGTATACATAGGGATGACCACGGTTCGATTCGAATTGAACCAAACACTATAGCAATCGAATTAAAAGTTTCCGGTTATGATTCAGATCCAGAACCCAATATTTTAATTTCAATTCATTAAAATTATGAATCAAAAAAACTGGATCCTGAACCGTGAACCGGCGGTTCTAGATCCGGTTAGCGATTTTAAACCGTCTTTATTTTTAAAATTTTAATTTTTTATTTTAAAATAGTCTAAATTCAACAATAAATGTATTTTATTTTTTTCAGTTTGGACCATGAACCGGCCGTCCCGGTTCACGATTTTAATAAAATCTAAATATCGTGTTTCGATTCTAAATTGTAATTAGAATATTTCGATTTGATTTCTATAGTGTCTGTTTGGTTTGAACCAACTTGTGGTCATAATTTGTTAGAGAAAAAAATAAATGAAATATTTATTTTAAGGGTAAATATATCCATTTAACATTTCAGGGGGAAAAACAGCCACTTGAATAATTCAGGGGGAAAAAGTGTTATATGTATATAACTTAGGGGGAAAAAGTGTCATTTTCCCATTTAAAAATAATTAACTAAGAGCTTGAACTTGAAAAATAAAATTATTTTATAAGCTAACATGACGTAATAAGAAATAAAATAAAACATATAATTACAAAAATAAATAAATATGATATGTATAATAAGCTAACACAAATATATATTTCATAATAAAAATAATTATAATGGCAAAATAGTAAATATGCCTGGGAATGTTTGAATACCTAAAATTTGTAAGGGAATCACATTTCTTTTAAAATCTTATGTATATATATTGCATTCTATGGGGAAAGTTGTATTCCTTAAAAAAGTAATAAAATAATACAAACCAAACATGGAGATGTGACATTCAAGTTAAAGAGTATTTAAAAGTATATCAATATTCAATTAAAACTTTTAAAGAGTCTCTACAAATATAATAATCCATTCAAACATTTATAGAGTTTTTAAAAGTCGACTGGTATTCAAAAACTTATTAACTTGATTCTATTATAATAGGATTTCTGTAGACTTTTCCTTTTGATATTGTAACACCCCCACTTTATAAAACAGAATATTTAATAAGGAGTGCATTTATTTATTTAAAAGATGGAACTCGAATTGGGAAGCAAAAATAAAATTTTGAAATACAAGGGGTGTTACAGCCACGATTGGTTACCAACTAGCTAGGCCCAAACGCACAGGCTAACAAAATTTTATCTATCTATACTATTATACAACCTAATTAAGAACTAATATACCACAACTCACTAGGTGCTACGCCTCTACAACGCGCTCTCAAAACTAGCCACATACTCCAATCCTTAAAACAATAAGATTATTTCAAACACACAAAACAACATGAAGGCTAAGTATATATTAATATATTAATACAAATTGAAGACTAAAATGACATAAGGGTAAATGAAAAAGGGGAAAAAAGTGCAAGAATTCTCAAATTCCTACAGTTGTAAGGAGGAGAATTTTAAATGTTTAATTAAATAAATAAGTTGTTTGATTGATTTCATAGAAAGCAAAGTATATATACAGAAATAGTAAATTAAAGAAGTAGAATATTGCAAAAACTAGGAAAACTATTTAATAAAATTACACATTAACCCCAAATATATTTGCATGAAGCCCCTCATGAATCATTATTCACCAAGAGAAAACATGGAAGCTTATGAGCATGGCAGCAAGAATAATGGGTCCACAAAACGTCATAGAAGCAGCCTCCGAGACGTAGAAGTAGTAGTAAGGGTTGCTGAAGTTTTTCTGTCCGAAACCTGCAGGCGGGGCTACGGTGGCCGGAATGTTGAAACTGTTAGAAGGCGGCGGCGGCGATGGTGGAGGAGTGGCGGGTCGGGGTGGAGGTGATGACAGGAGAGGCGGCAGGGGCGGCGATAATGGTGGGAGGAAATAGTACGGAAATGATGGTGGGTAGTTTTGGACCGGAGGTGATGGAGGAGATGGCTTTATTGGAGTGATGATCGCTCCCGGAGGTGGGAAGAAAGAATCCGGCGGCAGCGGCGGCGGGGAATGGCCGGGGCGTGGCGATGGTGATGGCGGTGGCTTCAAGGCCACTTCCGGCGTCGGCGGTGGCTTCAAGGCTACTTCCGGTGCCGGCGGTGGGGAGCAAATCGCCGGGCATGTTCCACACTCACTGATGCAGAGTAAACCGGGAGTACTACCTTGTATGGGTTCTTGAGATTTGACTCCAAGAAACATTATGGATAACAAGAGAAACCATAATGTTGCTATGGAGAAGGAAAGAAATGTGGGGTTTTGATTTTCCATTGTTTTGAGAGGGAGAGGTAGAATTGTGGTGTTTTGAAGAAAGGGAGAATGGTTTAATTTGTTATGCCAAATGCATGTGACAACTTTGTGATGCTTATAATGCTCTCTACTTTTATAGTTTGGTTCTTTAATTTACCATATATCACCATCTTAGCTTAGCTTGTGCATGGCTCTTTTAAGGAGTTTGATCAATTGAAGGCTTCTTGGCTTAGCTTTGAGACTCATTTTTGTGCCCAAGAATCATGTAAGAATGGTATCTTACTTTCTCTAACTCTTTCTACTAACATAATCTCATTCTTATCCTATTCTCTCTCACTTTTAAAAGTGGGTCCCACTTTCATATAATCAAATTTACAAATTTTTCACTATTTTCTCTACATCCTGCAATAGCTTCTCACTTTCACATTATATTATAAATAGCTGTTAGCTGATTGAGTTAGTGGCTTTAATTTGATTAGTTGATAACATTAGCTGATTGTAGAAAGATGTTTGGTAAATTAGTTGTTAGCTGATTATATGCAAAATAACTTTCTCAAAAAGTTGATCGAAAAAGCTGCTTTGAGCATCTTTTTGAATTTTAACATTTTGGAGCAATACGCTGTTACAAAAAGCTAATTAATCAAAGACTTATTTAAGAAGTAATAAGATGAGTGTATATGTGTATGAGTATGACCATGCATATCCATGGAGATTTCAATTTCAAGTGTTCAAGAAGAAAGGTGTCTGTCTATTAATGTGTTGATAAAAAAAAGGGTAAGAATCCAAGAATTAAGAGGCCACAGTATCTTTGGTTATGCCTTTCTCTACACACACTCCACTTTTGTGCCTAGACATCCACCTTAGCCTTTGCATATCTGTTTCTTATGGACAAGCTAAGGGGTCTCTCCCTTAGTTGCTCTTAGATAACAAGCAAAGAATTTTTCCTAACTATAACTATTATGCATGCATTCATACTTGGTATTATTTTCCTTGATTTTTAGATATGATTTGGCTGGGAGGCTAGGACTATATAGCTATGGTGTAAAGAGAAGCATCATTTCATCAAATAATGTGTGTGTGTGTGTTTATATATCTTCGGGTGTAAACCATTTGAACATGTTTATTGATCGAGAACAAGTAAATTCAGATTGATCGTGTCAACAAGTCTTACACAACAACTGATTTCTCATCAGTTATAAGGATACATCAATCAATAACTCATGCCAAAAACTTGTTCTTTTCTCCCCCGGGTTTCCTTATCCACATCCTTGTGGCCGGCCTAAGGTTATCGCTTCTCAGGCCACTTCATTGCAGAGCCTTAAGTAGCTTCACACCTCTGTAAAGTAATCCGGGATGGAGATTTAGGATGATTGAAGAAGAAGATCGACTTGATTCAACAATAATGTCGTCCAAACGTTTGGGTACCATTTTTACTTGCCAAGCTTTGGAGCGCGAGTTCTTTCAACCGGTTGAGCTCTGGTAATATGACTGAACCAAGATCGGGTCTGTCTTTCTTGCGGAGCTCAGCACACTGGAGTGACAATTTGGCAAAGTGAAGAGCCTCTTCTACAGGCCAGTCTGAGATTGTTGGGTCTAACAAATCTGCAAATGTGCCTTTCTCAATTGCCCTCTCAACATGGTGGGTTAATCCCATAGGGGGCTTTGCTGTGATAATCTGGAGCAACATCACTCCAAGTGAATATATGTCTGACTTAGTCCCTAGCTTTCCAGTCTGCTGATACTCGGGGTCTATGTAACAAAACGTCCCCGCAGCTGAAGTCATGTGATATTGTGTCACATCATCAGCTACGGATGGTGGGACTAGTCGTGCCAACCCGACATCACTGATTTTGCTCACGAAATTGCGGTCCAAAAGGATGTTCGCTGGCTTAAGGTCCCGGTGCACGAGAGGCTCCGGCTTTGATTGATGAAGAAATAGAAGCGCTGTTGCAATCTCTGCTGAAATTTTGAACCTAATTTCCCATGGGATTGCCGGGGTATTACCCTTTCTTAACAGACGGTCTTCCAAGCTTCCATTTTCCATGTATTCATATACTAAGCATCCATACTCGGGACATGCACCCAACAGAAGAACCATGTTTGGATGTCTCATCAGACTTAGTACCTCAACCTGACATTTATAAAACAACAGGCCAGGCTTGATGAGAAGAGAATATAATGGACTTAAAAAAATCGAGTTGAATTTTAAATTAGAAAGGGCTAATTTAATTTACCTCTTGTTGGAATTGTTTTCTTCCTTGGGCAGCATCAGGCCTTAGAACTTTGATGGCAACGGGGGTGTGGTCGAGTTTGCCTCGATAAACAGGTCCATATCCGCCTTCGCCAATCTTCATTGATTTTGAAAACTTTTCTGTGGCAAATTCAATCTCATCTATGCTATACTTCCTGTACCGACAATCACTTTTGGATAGCACGCTTAATGCTCGATTCTTTTCTGCCGTCTCTTTCTTCGCCTTCATCTCTGCATACTTTGTTCTTTGTGCCTCCATCTCCGCTATCTTTTGCGCTTTCTCGGCTGCTTCCATGGCAGCTTTGCATTTAGCCTTCTCCATCTCAACCATTCTCAAAGCAGCCTCCTCAGCTTGCCGAGCTTGCTCAAACCTCTGAGATTCTTCGATCTTCATCTGCTGAAGCTCTTTTGCCTGGAAATAACAATCATATTTATGCATTTTTAGCAGTATACATTATTCTTCTTGTAAACGAGGCGGAAAAGAAGTGTAGTATTACGCTTTTCTTGGCTGTGATGGCTTCTTTGCAAGCATTGTTATACATATCCATGGTTTGCTTCAGCTCTAATTTTAGTCTTTTCATCTCAGACTCCAAATCTTTCTGCAATAGCAGAATTCATATCATTAATTGAATGCAATTACTCACTTCCGCTACAAAAATCTGCAATTACTGGTTGAACTTACAGAAGCTATTGAGGATGCATCACTCCCAGCATCAGATATTCTTGTGAAGTCTAAGTTTTGAGCTGCAGCGGCGTTATCAAACCCATCACTGATGGGTGCAAAGAGGTCGTTGTCCTCAGCGAGGGAATTGCGGCAGGATGAATTCCACGGCCTTCTGACAGAGCCATCAGCGTCTCGGTCCTCGCTTCTTCTAAAAGGTCTCCCGCTGTGCTCTCCCCTGGAAGAACAGGCGGATATCCTGTTTTAGCCAGAAACAAACCAATTAGTGATAAGTAGGTGGACATTAACCATTTAACCACATCCCTCAGCTCCTCCATCGTCCCAAAGTTTCGTCTCATTTTGTACCTATCATCTCCTGCTGATGATGATGCAGCACTACTGCCCCTAGAAGAAGCACGCGATGATGAGCCATGATGAGACCATATGTGAGTTGGGAGATTGGTCAGAGGCCTCGCTGCTGGGCGGATGGATTGCTGCTTTCCTTTCGAGATTACATAAACCGAGCAGAAGTCCGGGGCAGTCTTGTTCACAATAGTTGGCACATCATGAGTCCAAAATTTCCTGCACAGCTAGCTTCTAATCAAAACCAAGAAAATGTTCAAGAAATGCAGTGGAATGGGAGCATCTGATCGACTAACCTGGATATCGCACTTCGCGATGATGCACCAAGAACAACGTTGGAAACGCGGTGCGTGTTGATGTACCCTACAATTGCCTTGGCCACTTCAGTATCCTCAATAAAATCCTCCTTCATTATGATCTGCAGTACAGTTCAGAAAACCCAAAAATGCACTTTAGACTTTGGTCAGGCCAGCTTAATGTTCCATCACTATTTATATTCATCAGTATTCCTACTTTATATTAGCTTCCAGTCCAAAAAAAAAAAAATGAATTGCCCATTGAGGCAACCTAATCAAATATAATCTAATGCAATAATGTAGTTGCATGGAAAAACAAACATGATGAACAAATCTGGTTCTCATATAATTCAAGGCTGATTAAGGATAGTATTTTACAACCCGTTTCCATAATTATACAGCTACATCAAGTTATCTATTCACTAATTCTTCAAACTCAATAATACCACCAAAGAACAAATTTCAAGCTACACAACATATGAGGTGAGATTTCTTTTTGAAGGGTGAAGAGGGTGTGCAGGAGGTAAACTCCACCTTGTGATCCTAGCCAGCAAAGGACCACAAGGAGGTAAACCAATCTAAGTTGTTCATAGCTGACCGGCTCAAATCAAGATGGTTGAGATTTGAACTCGTGACCTTGTGGTTACAAGTTTGTATCCTTAGCCATATTGGGTAAATCCCATCTTGTGATCTTAGCCGACAAAGGACCACAAGGAGGTAAACCAACCTAGGTTGTCCATAGCTGACCGGCTCAAATCAAGAAGGCTGTGATTTGAACCCATATTGGGTAAACTCCGCATTGTGATCTTATCTAGTAAATGATCACAATGAGGTAAATCAACCTAAGTTGTCCATCCATACCTTTCCGGTTCAATTCAAGAGGACTGAGATTTAAACTCTTGACCTTACGGTTACACGTTTGTATCCTTGGATGGGTCACCCATATGAGGTGAGATTTGAATCTAAGAACTATTACCAAAACAAGTGACAAAATGTCAATTTGACCATGTGGGTGGGGTGGCATTGAAAATATGATGCATTGAAATCAAATGGAATCAAAGAAAAATGGCAATTATGAATTCATATATGTAAATTGCAAATCATTATTGTCATACTCCTCTGCGCGCAGAGTAAGCGCGAAATGGTGTGAAAACGCAATGCCCATCATGATCACTCATCCCACCATGTGCATCTGGACCACCATTCTCTGCAAAAACATAAGAACCGTAAATAGATCAAATCGCAATTGCGACAATAAAAGATTCAAAAATTTCTCATAATTCCGAAGAAATGTAAGAGGGTATGTACGTACGATGATTTGGTGAGGCTTTGTGGCGGACGTGGAGAAGGATAACAAAGGGATTGCTGATGAGGAGATTATCAACCGTCCATTTCACGGCGGAGGCGCTGTTCTTGTCTTTATCAACAGCCACGACGGTGATGGGGCCGGTGGTGGCGCCGTCGGAGGAAATGGTGGGATGATGATGATGATCCATTTTTGGATGATCTGATCTGCTAAAGGTTATGCCTAGCTCAGATCAACCAGTACTCCGCCGTCACCACCGCCGTGTCTCCGCCCCAGTCTCCCAAAGCTTTTTGGGAAAATGGGATCGGAGGAGAAAACCGAAAGGGAGAAGCAGATGTGAAGGGCCCTTTATTCAGATGGAATCTTAACTGAAATAACTAACGCATCTAATTTAATTGCTATTTTAATCCTTTTAAAAAAAAATTAATTACTTTCATTTTCTTAGCCTATTTTATTTTATTTTATACAATGAGCACTATATTACAAAATTATAACTAGCAAATTAAATGTCCTTAAAATGTTACGTTAAACTATATTTTACCCTAAGTTTTACTCAACTATTTCTTTTTTCATATTTATTTTAAATTGTTTGTTAGCCTAGTTGAAAGATATATAATGTAAAATGACCATGAAAAATGATGTAAAATGAAACATTTTTGAAGGAGTAGATGCGGTCAATGTACGGCCATATTGCTAATTTGCTATGCTCATTTTCAGAATGATGAAATTGAGAAGCAGGTACACAACATGCTCCAGACAGGGATAATACAATCAAGCACTAGTCCATACTCTTCACCTGTATTGCTAGTAAAGAAGAAAGATGGTACATGACATTTTTGCACCGACTATCGAGCTCTAAATGCGGTGGCGATAAAAGACCGTTTTCCCATTCCCACAATTGAAGACACTCTGGAAGAGTTGCATGGGGCTACATATTTCACCCGTCTGGACCTTCGATCCGGGTATCATCAGGTTCGTATGTCTATCAATGATATACCAAAAATGGCTTTTCGCACCCACAATGGCCATTATGAATACTTGGTCATGCCCTTTGGACTCTGTAATGTTCCATCGACTTTCTAGGCTCTCATGAACAATGTCTTCTGGCTATATCTCCGTAAGAGTATCCTGATATTTTTTTTATGAGATTTTAATATATAGTCCCTCATGAGATGACCATCTACACCATGTTGAAATAGCATTTCAGCTCCTACGTGCCAATCAACTCTACTTGAAATTCTCTAAATGTGAATTTTGTGCACGAACTCCTTTACTTGGGGCATGTTGTTTCAGCCACCGGTGTCAAGGTTGATCCGTCCAAGATTCAAGCAATGCTGGACTGGCTAGTGCCTTCTTCTATTACATATTTGTGAGGTTTCTTAGGCCTCACTAGGTATTACCGTAAATGTGTACGCAACTACGGGGCCATAGCTAAGCCGCTCACAAATCTTTTGAGGAAAGGTCGTTTTGTGTGGACGGATGTGGCTCTTGAAGCTTTTAATCGTTTGAAAGAAGCGATGGTCACCATCCCTACTTTAGCGATGCTAGATTTTTCATATCCGTTTACTATAGAAATGGATGCATCAGGGTGTGGGATTGGTGCAATTTTGTCTCAACGGGTCATCCTATTGCCTTTATGAGTCAAGCTCTAGGTCGGTCCAAATTATCTTGGTCCATTTAAGCTAGAGAAATGTTGGCGATTCTCACTGACGTACGCTTGCGGTGATCTTATTTGTTGGGACAAAAGTTCTATATCCTTACGAATCAAAAGAGTGAAATATTTGTTGGAGCAGCGCATTGGTACTCCTGAACAGCATAATTGGGTGGCTGAACTCCTGATACAATTATGAAATATTGTATCGACCAGGAAAATCTAATCAAGCTGTGGACGCGTTATCACGTTGCTCCCATCAGGTTGTTGACGATGGTCTTCACTTAGTTTCCCCAGCTATTATGACCATATCTACAGCTCATGCTACTACTTGGGATCAACTTAAGCAGGAAGTTCAACGTGATCCGTACTTGCAGATATTGGTGGCGAAATCTTTGCATAACCCGGATGGGCCATACTCTATGCGTAATGGATTGGTTTTATTTAAACACAGAATTGTAGTTCCACCTACCTCTTCACTGATATCCCAACTTTTGCATGAGTTCCACTCCACACCCTCTGTCGGACATTCCGGAGTCCTCCGAACATACAAGCGCCTCTCTAGCGTGTTTTATTGGCCATCAATGTTCCGAACGGTAGAACCTTTGTAGCAACTTGTGATGTGTGTCAACGGGCTAAGACATCATCCCTATCCCCCGCGAGACTACTACATGCTTTACCCATTCCAGAACTTGTTTGGGACGATGTCACTATGGATTTCATCGATGGTTTGCCCTTGTCTAATGGCAAGACCTCTATCTTGATCGTGGTTGATCGGTTGAGTAAGTATGCACATTTTTTTGGGCTTGCTCATCCGTATACTGCCAAGTCAGTTGCATTGGTGTTTGTGGAGGGTGTTGTCAAGCTACATGGAATTTCAAAATCTATTGTTTCTGATCGTGATCCAATATTCACCAGTACCTTCTAGAAGGCATTATTCAAGTCATCTGGCATGTCTCTTAAGATGTCTACCGCCAATCATCCCCATACGAATGGCCAAACAGAGATTGTGAACCGGTGTTTGGAGCAATATCTTCGTTGTTTTACTCACCGGTATCCTCACCAATGGGTTCATTTTTTTTTCCTTGGGGGAGTTTTGGTACAACTCTTTTTATCATAGCTCCACAGGTATGACGCCTTTCCATATTCTATATTGTCGCCCACCTCCTTCCGTGCCTCGTTACTTTGTGGGTTCTTCTCTCGTAGCTGAAGTGGATTAAGAATTAGTTGCTATTAATAGAATGAAACAGCTGGCTGATTCCAAACGTCACGACGAGGAATTTGAGATTGGCAATTGGCTGTATATGAAACTCTATCCTTACAAACAGTAGTCGATTTTCCGCCATGCCTCTCACAAATTGGCTGCTATATTTTATGAACCCTTTTCTGTGGAAGCGAAAATCTCCAAAGTTGCATATCGCCTAACTTTACTGGCGGGCTCCCGTGTTCATCCTGTTTTCCATGTCTCCCTGCTAAAGCATAAAATCGGTGATTCGTGCTCTAGTTCTCCGACCTTATCTCCTGTTACCGCAGAGAGCTCATTTAATCTTAATCCGGAAGCGGTCCTCGATGTCCGCTCCGTCCGTCGGGGTGGTCACGCAGTGTCTCAATGCTTAATTAAGTGGTCTGGCCTTTCTGTTGATGATGCAACCTGGGAGGATGTCCACCTTCTCCAATGCCAATTTCCTTCCTTCAACCTTGAGGACAAGGTTGCGGTTACAGCTACGACGGTCCGTACGAAAGCCAAAACCAAATCCAATGTATGTGAATTAATATTGGAACATGCATGCACAATGAAAAAGATCGTGGCTGCTATATTTCTTTTATATTTATTTTATTTTATTTCCATTTCTATTGACTTAGTTGGTTATATTATAACCATGAACTAGTTTTGCGGAATAAACCATGACTTAGGCTCTGTTTGGCAAACCTAGCTGAAAAGCTATAAGCTAGGAGCTGATAGCTGAAAAGGAGCTGAAAGCTGAAAAGCTATAAGCTCGGAGCTGAAAATTGAAGAGCTGTTAAGCTAGCTGTTATGATTGAAAGTGTTTGGTAAATTTAGCTTTTTGATAAGCTGATAAATGTAAAAAGACTAAAAAGGACATCTTCATAAAATTTAAATTAGTTTGTTTACATATTAAAATTTAACATTTCGTCTTCCAAAAAAAGTAATCACTTTTTAAAATAAAACTATTAGCATGATCATGATCTAGCATCGCATAATGAAGTAGCAATATTGTTGCGAATATCCTTCATCTCCATAGAGGTGTGACTTAAATTTTCGTTGATGGAGATATTACTACTTGAATCTTGAAGTTCATCGGGCGGTATGTAATCTGGATGCTGCTCAAGCACATTAAACATCATGTCATCTTGTGAATTCTTCTGAATATAATTATGTAGTGCAAATGTAGCCATAATAACATCAATTTGGGGCTCCTCACTAAACTGCGGCATTTTAGCAGGAAACAAGACTAAGGAAGGGATTGACGTGAAAGTTGAGATAAGGGAAGAGAAAGGGTTTTAATTCATAAGGTTAAAATATGTCATTACTTTAAAATAATAAGGGTAAAGATGGAAAAAAAGTTAGGAAGCTAGTAGCTTATTTTGAAAAGCTACCTAAAGTAGCGTTCCAAAATAAGCTCTTATTTTAAGCTAGGAGCTTATTTTGGGAACATTACCAAACAGAGCTTATAGCTTGTTAGTAGCTTAAAATAAGCTATAAGCTCCTAGCTTAGCGTTGCCAAACAGAGCCTTAGTTGGTTATATTATAACCATGAACTAGGTGTCATATTAATATTCAACTTAATATGATTATTAGGTTATTAATCAAGTGCAAGTTTGAATAATTTGAGTAATAAGTCAAATTAAATTTAAATATTGTAACACTAGAGTGAATAAGTTTGTAACACTAATTATCAAACACTCTAAAGCTTTCAAAAATCAAACACTCTTATAATATTTGATGCATCCTTAGTTGGTGTATAGGCGTTCTACACCTATGGAGTATCATAATGCACCATCTCATTAATTTTTGAAAACTTGAGAGTGTTTAATAATTAGTGTTACAAACTTATGGTACTCCATAGGTGAAGAATAAAAGTCAAGCTTAACCGTTTTTTTTTCTTTTGCAAATTATAATAAAGCCTAAATTATACTACGTAATAAATATGATCGTTTATTTCAATGAGGTTGTGTACGTATGACGTACCAAATATTTTCTCTTATCATATCATATTTATATTTTTATAAAATATAGCTTTACAATATATTTAAGTTATTGAACATATTCGAGCCGGGTTCAAATATTTTGAAATTAGTTAAATCTAAACTCAAAAAAATTGAGTGAGTTTTATATTTCAAGTCAAATTAAACCATTCCCGATCATAATTAAATTATGTTGACTTGATTACAACTTGAGCCAGCCAAGCCAGGGATCTCAAACCAAAATGGCTTGCGATGATGCGGAAACTGTCTTTCTTTTAGTAATGAAAGAGAATTTACTTGTCCCAAAATGTTGAATTTTTATCTTCAAAGTCTCTCACACATTTAACTCCAAAGTCTCTCATACATTAATCAAACAAAGTATTTAAGAGAATGTAAATTACGATTACTCAATATCTCATCAGAGAGACAAATTTACTTGCGCATTA